TCTTTCTGGGGTTTGCTACATCAGGGACCGTGCTTCTGAAATGGTAGCTTAAGCAACTAGTGATGCTGGAGGCAGATGGTCAGTGGGGCCAGGGCTCTGGACGGGCCTAGAGCAGCTGGACCAGGTCCTTCCCATTTCCAGACCAACCTGTTCTGTGGTTGGGTCTCAGATAAACCTCATTCCTGTAAATCATGTCCTCCTTACACATATGAGGCACCTTACTATTATTTCTTGGAAACCTCTAGTAGCTCTTTAAGAAGATAAAATTGATAGCCAGCTGGAGAGCATCTGAACTGGGAATCAAGGTTGCCTGGATACCTCTCACTTATTCATTTGACAAACACTGATACAGGCCTATGTGGGCCTGGCCCCATACCACTTGCTGGGGCCACAGATGTGAATGAGACACACCGCTGCCTCCAGGAACCCACTTAGTATGGGGGTCCCAAAGCAGGTTTCTCCCAAGCTGAATGGAGGCTTCTACATGCCCAGTGCTGGTCTTTGTACAGTTCACAGAAAGATGAGGTTAATGATTGAATTTTTCCTAATTTTCATCTCCTCCTTCTGTAAGATCCTTGAAAATTTAGTATAAGCTACAAGCTGTTTACTCCAGAATCAGTATCAGTGCCTGGTTTACCAGCAATCCATTTAGTTAGTTGCTAGCAATTGCACATCTCCTGCTTTCTAGCTTCCAGAAGCTCTGTCTGTAGGACAAGCTGGACCTACTCTGGAGGCTGCAGATAGGAGCAGCTAGAATGCAGGATGAGCAGTGCTAGATGCTAAATGTAGAAACAAAACGCTGGCTTTTCATTTTCACCCTGTTATCAACTCAGTTCGTGGCCTTGGGCAACTCATTTCTCTGGGTTTTATTTCTGTCAGAATGAAGGCCTTGGACTAATAATAGCTACTGTCATTGCCACATTATATTGAGCACTTATATGCTGGGCACTTGACATGTATCCTCATGACTACCCTGTGGTAAGTCCTATTCTGATCCTCATTTTACAGATGAGGAAATGAAGGCTCAGAGAGAGTAAATGGCTTGTCTAAGATCACACCACCCTCGAATGGCTACCTGTCGGGAGCAGGTTAGGGCTGGGGGTGGGCCCTGGGCAACTCAGAATTCTTTCTGGCAGGCATGGAGGATGTGCGTATCAATGAGAGGACTGTCAGCCCCTTCTTGCAATTGTCAGATGATCGAAGGACCCTGACCTTCAGCACCAAGAAGTCCAAGGTCGGTGTGGATGGCCCGGAGCGTTTTGACCACTGGCCCAACGCCCTGGCTACCACTTCCTTCCAGTCTGGGCTGCATGCCTGGGTCGTGAATGTCCAGAACAGTTGTGCCTACAAGGTGGGCGTGGCCTCAGGTCAGCTGCCCCGCAAGGGTTCCGGCAGTGACTCCCGTCTGGGCTACAATGCCTTCTCCTGGGTCTTCTCCCGCTACGACCAGGATTTCTGTTTCTCGCACAACAGGCAGCACGAGTCCCTGGGGCTGCTGCGTTGCCCAGCCCGGCTGGGCGTGCTGCTGGACTTGCAGGCACAGGAGCTGCTATTCTACGAGCCATCCATGGGCACGGTGCTCCACACCCACCATGGCCCCTTGCCTGGGCCCCTCTTCCCAGTCTTTGCAGTGGCTGACCAGACCATTTCCATCGTTTGCTGACCTTTAGCCACC